TGAAAAGTGCATTTTTAAGAAACCTTTGAAGTTCTTGTCTTGTTCTTGACACTGACTTTGCATTAAAACTAAGGATCAATACGATTATCATAAACATTCGTGACATTGGAATTATATGTAAAAGAGCCAATTTAATTGATGGTTCTTAGTCTGATAAGTATATTTCTCAGAAGTCTCGTTTAACATCACTTCAATTAATTGAATTGTAAGCTTGAATAATAACATTTAATTAAAATATTGCATCAAGACAGGATAACTTTACTTAATCTGCATATGATATTAACAACTGTTTAGTTTTTCTACAATAATGAGCCACTTTACAACACTTTTGATAAATTGAAAATATTTTATTTTTAACTTTAATATTCAGGTTCCTAATTACTCTACCGATAATTGAAAAAGTTACCTGTTTTAATAGATCTTAACACGTAAAAATTATTATAATATTACAATATCTTATTATTAAAATAATTCTAATTGAATTACGAATCGTTGTACTTATATTATTTTATACAATCATGATGAAAAATCAAGCATTACTCAAGCCATGTAGCTTTTACGCACACTTAATCGTTAAACAATATTTATGTTCATGGTTTCCGATTCAATAAAACAATACAATAATGATCATGTTAGCTAATGACATGGTACCGCAAAATGTTGGCACGCGGCGCCAACTTCTTGTGATTGGTAATTTATTATTTTGTCTTTCTGCTTAATTGGTTTCCCGTTTGACTGAATGCTTTATTATTATATTGAGTCCTTGAACTCAAATAACCTCCAACAATTTTCATTTAGTATTTTTACATTAGTAAATACATTTCAATTTAGAATCGACAATGTTTTTGTAATAAAGTGTTTATATTTTCTAAAAGTAAGAAACGGCCCTATTTTAGTTTTAAGGCATGTATCGTTGTACTAAATTTTATCAAGAATTTTATTATTCCTGATCCACTATGTGTTTCCTTACTAAATTTTCAACTGTTGTAAATATAAAATGACAAAAACTTTTGCATGAGGAAAACATGTTTTTAAACTTTTCGTGTTTTTCCACAATATAAATCTTTTAGATGTCTTTGTTTTGTAAATGAAATTTAATTTAGGTCTTCAAGCGAGACATAAAGGAGATAAATAAGAACATTATTAGAAATTTATTAAAAGTTCTAGTTATCTTTTCCGTGAACAAATCAATGATAATTTTAATCCATGTTCGATGAAAGTACATACTAACTTTATCTAATAATGCATGTTATGCAGTTTGATCAATTATCCGATCAATTTCATTGATATATCGGTATGAGTAATTTTCACCAAGTAATCCTTTGATGTAACCCGTCTTTTCTTGTACGCACAGTAAATAGTAATGCTGCATACCAAAAAAACACAATCTGTTAATGAATCTAAAGTTCCTCGTTGCGTGTTTTTCTCGATTAATTGCAAGTTAATGTTAATAAACAGATACATTCAATATCTTAAGTGCGACAGGCATCCCTGCCAGAAATAATAATTTTCCTAGGTAATAAAATTTCAATTAATAAATATTTATAAATATACATATTGCACGGGGCATTAAGAACCCAGGAAATAAATTGGAATGCAGAAGGCAAAAGTCACGCAGGAAAATTTAAATAAGATAATCGCAAATTTGCTGGTATTTTATACGAGATTACAAGACGCCCGTTGATTATCCAAACCTGTTTAATTTATTAACAATTTCACTGCGGCTTCTGTAATTCGACTGCGTAATTGTGTTTATCTGCTTAGTATCTGGGAAGAATGAAAGTATCATTTAGATCTAACGATTATTCGATTACGAGGATCTGGTGACAATATTTTTAAATGCACTTTGTATACAGAAAACGATTTCAAAGGTAAGAAAATACTGGTAATGGCAAATTTGGCTTGCTTTGTTGTTGTAAAAACTGCAAACATAAAAAAATAAAATAGGTCGGTATAACTTCTGCTTCTACAGCGGTTTAACAAAACGTGCCATATTTTAATTAGGTTTATATTGGAGTCTATTATAAACTTAAGTCCATTTGCCTGATTGATTTTTAATATTCTTTATAAATTACGGATAATTTTTTACAAAAAAATATTTTGTGAATTTATTAACAGATTCTCAGCACTTTGAGCGTGCTCTTAAGCAATAATGGCATTATTCCAGAAAGTTCAAAATTAAATGTTAATTAAAAAAATATTTGATATTCTAATAGTGAAAATTGATTTTAAATTTCCTTTACTCTCTTTTAAGGTCAGTTTTGTATGCAGTTCTAGTGACGTATGCAGTTCTTTCTTAAACAGCCGAAAATTTTACTGGCAGTATCATTGGAAGCCGAAATTAAAATACAATCTATTTTAACTAGAACTCTTAAAAAAATGTGAAAAATGTCAGTTTTTCCCCAGCTTTCCGCTGTATCTACAAATTCAAATAGATACAAAAGTTTAAAGAATGTTAATAAAGAAGAGTGGTAATAAAAACACTTGATTGATGCGGTTCTTTTCAATTATGCTGAGAAACAAGTTCTGTTTTGTAATTATTTACTTTCCGCATTGCAAATGTTGTGATCGAACAATAAATTTATTGCTTTTATGTACAGTAAATCGTTGTCAAGTCGTCGTTGAATTAAGAGCTTTTTATCCATATAAAAACTAAAATAAATTTATTTATAAGTTTAAAGGAAAATAAAATGGAAAATTAGGAACTGCAATATTAACAATGAAAACACGCTGATGAAACTCTTTAGGATATTTTTTAGGATATTTTACACTTATTGCATGTGTTTCAATTTTCAAAATGTGTACAAGGTGTTCTTTTGTTCAATTTTGCGGTTTCAAATTAGAGTTTTAATTCTACTTTAAAAATACTGGCCTAATTAGTCAATAGTTATCGACATTTCAATATTTTAGTAAATCACATAAGGTTAAGTAAACCAATAAAATAGGGTACTTCCTGGATATATTATCTAATCGATCAGCAAATAAATATCTTATATTGATATTTGTTCTTCAACTGTTCAATTAGCTAAGCTTCCATGCTTTTACCAGATTTTTAATAAATTCTAACAGTATCTTTAAGCCTACACATCTTATAATAAATTTTTTAAAATTGGAAATTTCGTAGGTGGAAACATGTATCTGAAAATCTTGCAAATTTGATTACACGCGGGTAAATTGGCATTTTTCGTATTTTATTGCTCATTTCTATTACATATGTATCACATTAGGCGTATGAGCGGATATAGAAAGATGCTTACCAAATCACATAATTCAATGTGGCAATTTATTCAATCATTGCAATAAGCAACAATTGAATAAATTAGACGCAAATATTTCAGATGAATCTTAATTTATGAAATATTTCTTATGTCATATTAATGACGTGAAAGAGAATAATGCAGAGAAGGTTGGTTGAATTTCGTTAGCAATTTAGATTAGGCTGTTGTAAAGTCTTCCCACATGAAATGCAAGGTCAATGTGAATAAGGTATCGACCTATACAACAGCGGTATTAATCACTATGAAGTGCCAGCAAACCAGGAAATTGCTGCAAATTTCAACATTTTTATTGCAGTTAGTAGTTCGATCTTATACAATTTCATTCAGGCATTATTTTTCTAGAGCTTCCAACGAACAAAGTTGCCAATCGAAATATACTGGAGAGTGAAAGTGAAAGGTTTCCGAGCTTCCGTTTTTTTTTAACAAATCCTCTATCGGCTTAGAATTAGCTCAAAGCCATCATTAAACTCTGCATGCAATACCGACATTAAGTTCACAAGGAGAAATTTACAAATTAATTGTTTATGTATTACTGAATTTCGGTAATTTTTTCTGCGCATTTTAAACATCAATGACGGAATTTTGGAAGGACAAAAACGTACATGTAAATCGTAAAAAAACAATCGTTGGATCATCTCTAGATGTTTTAAATATTTTGTTGATTTCTGTCTTGCATAGTATCTTTGCTACTTACTTGTTCTTTTTTTGCTTCTGCTGCTGCAAATTAACAGCTTTGTTCTAATAACAGCCAAAACAGTGACAAATGCAAAGAGCTTTACCTAATTATTCAGATATCAAAAAAATATTGAAATAGATTGTTAATAAAATTAAGATCTATAAAATATTCAGATTTCAGTTTCATACTGAAAGTTGGAATATTCCTAAAGAGTTTTTGTATGCTGCTAAATGTTGGGGCTTGAATACTTTCGCGTACAAATTTTCAAAATAAACAAAATGATCAGGCTTCAACACTCCTTCCGTACATCCATACTTTCCTAATGTTCCCAAAAAGTTTCTAAATCTAAACTACATCCTTTGCCTCAAATTATAAATGGTAACCAACAGTTTAAAAAATTGGATTCAGGGTGAATAAATTAAAGAACGTTAATAAATGAATAAAAAATCTGTATAAAAACAGTCTCGTAATTCAGTTTCAAAAAACTATGTTAAGTGTATGCAATGAAGAGTAAAACCAGTGAGAGTTTGAATAAGTGGAAAATGCTGAAGAAATGTATGCTGTTGATGCTGTAAATTGAACTTCAAAGGGGTAAATTGAGCAAATAGTAATATATGTACTAAGATGCAAAACTGCAACTGCACAACGACGTATTGATAAATTTGTTGTATTGCTAGGAAAATAAGTGCTGTTGAATGTGAATTCATGTCGTTTTTGTACATTTCTCAGCTTTTCCGTACCCATTTCATCGACATATTATTAGGCAGCACAAGAAAATTCGATAAAACTTTTAAGCTAGAAAATTAATTTGCGTTTAAAAATGTAGTAGTTTTCAACAATGTAGTAGTCAATTATTCCAGTTAACTGCATTTTTCAGATTTGCCATATTTTTACAACTTGCTAATCATCTGCCTAGTATATTCAAAAAAGTTAATCAAAAAATTGATTCATCTCCATTCAGAGGAGTAGATTTGTCTGCACATAGTATGTAGTTCTTCCTCCTTTCTAGGAAAACAATGAATATAAGTTTCACGTGTTCCTTTCAGGTTCCAGCTGTGTTCTGCTGCCTGATAGCAGCAGTATACGCTGCAATCGCCCCAGGAGAGAACGCATATCTCCCCCCAAAACAAGGCTACGATTATCCCAGGCCCAACGTTCCGTTCCCACCTTCTCCCAGCTATCCCCCTCCACCTCGGCCTCCAGCACCTCAACCACAGCCCCGACCAATACCTCCAAGACCCACCTACGGCCCGCCTCCCACCGTTCCCACTCGTCCTCCACATGCTACGGTTCCTCCTCCATATAGTCCTTCTCCAAGTCCTTTCAGGCCTCCGTCGGGTTCTCCAAGTGTTCCGTTCAAACCTACTGGACCTACACCTCAAAGACCTACATATATTCCTCCACAGCCTACAAGTCCGCCGTTCCGACCTACTGGGCCACCAGCCAGACCTCCTGGTGAGTATTAATTCTTGGTCTTTTAGAGCTAAGAGAGGCCACTTAGTGCTGGGAATTTAACTTTTGCTTTTTTGGCTCAATTATTTAGTTCGACTGTTAATAATTGCAAACAGTGATACCAAAAGTCCTTATAGTTAAAGGATCTTGTGTGTAATATGTTCTGTATATAAATTTTCTTAACTTTTTCAAATTCAATGCCTTATTTTTTTGTTCATTTAAAAACGTTTAAATAATAATTAAAAGTAGAAAATTTTGTTAGATAAAATTGACGCTCTTTGTAACGGAGGTTACTAAAATTTTATTTCGGTCCTGTTAATTTAAAGCAACGCCAGGCGGATGTTTTTTTTTCAAGGGCCCCGTAAAACTATATTTGTTTACTTATTAAATATTATTTTACGATTGTACTCGTATCGCGCACGTGCACTATACAGGGTGATTCAAAATTGGCGTCATTTCTTTTAAGGGTTGATAGAGGCTCCCTTGGGGAGTACGAGAAAAATATTGAATTTTTTTTTATTATGCTATGCCAAAGATCGTGTTTACGTTGTTTAAAATTACCTCAAAAGCATTGAGGCCTGTAGGAGGTCCCGTGGAGGACATTTAAATGATATTGTTTTTCGTATAATGGCAAGGTTTAATCTTTATATTGAATTAAAATTTTCGTCTCCGTCTGAATATTTTCTGTTTTTTTTACTTTACTTTCCCAAGCATAAAATAGATAACCCTGTATAATCTTCTAGATAATTAAAAGAAGTCCTGATAATCTGACAATTACTAACAGATATCTATTCAAATAAGCTGAGAAAAATACGTTTGAGCAAATGTCGGTATTTTTCCAATATTTCTACAAGTAATAGGAATTTTTTAATGTTCAAAACATAATTTTGTTCAGCCACAACGTTCGCAACTTTGCTTTAATTTAACCGGCTCTCTTACAGTTTGCGAGATATCAATGGTAGAACCTCAACTTTGAAACACACTGTATATAATAACTTTTTTCTGGGGCCTGGATTTACTGCCTGCGGTATTAATTTTATTTGACTTTAGAGATAGTTTGATATATTCTGTGAAATTGTAAATTTCATGTACCTAATGAGCAAATTCCTTCTGTTGCATAATGAAATGAACACCTCCATTGGGAGTCAATTGAAAGGTTAAGGCCAAGATTGTTTTAAAGACTGATGTGCACAGTAATTACCTTTCTGCTATAAAACATAAGTACGTACACGCCCAATTATATATTTCACTCATACAGGATGGTGTGATGAGAATAGCTCTCGGTCATATTTGAAACGGTAAAATTACTAGGTTTATGTAAATCCGACTTAGAAAATTTTGTGACCATTCAATATTGAACATAAGCGCAATATTACAAAAACAATTTTTGTAAATCCAACTTATCTTATTTTGTAAGAATTTTTGTTTATTGATTGGCATCTTAACAATAATCAAATATGCGGTGAGCGCTAACTGATAGTTAGTTATTCTGCAGATATTTATCTGCTTAACTGAAGCTTTTTAAATGTCTCTTAAAAGCCCTTTAGCAACACCTTCGAATTACTTATCATACTGCGTTATATACTTACTTTCTAGAGTTTCCTCAATGTCTTCGTTTACAGATGTTTGTTTCTAGAATGAGAACGGTTTTTTCAATTCTATAAGACCGTTGAAGCGACTATGGATTCTGCTTAATTCGAAAGGTCCGCTCCTTCTCTAATTCAGATTCCAGTAATTATTGACGAGAAATTTCATTATTTGAAAAATATTTTTTTGTTTCAAAATTAAGGTAGTAAAATCGATGCGTCTTTCTGCAGATTATATCGATTTTGATGCAAGTGTTTAACAAATACGAGAAGAACTCCACCGATTAGGATTATTGAAAAAAATAGCTGTTCTAAATTGTCCAAGTGAAGTAAATCACAAAGCAGCGAAAAATTTGATACAATTTACAATTTATAGATATGCTTTCTCCCTTGTTTTATTTTTAGATATTAAATTAACATGTTTTTTGTCTAATACTGGTTTTGAATATTTTAGGAACACGAGCACCAGGATACCTTCCACCACCCACCCAACCACCATACCGTCCTTCAAGTCCTCCCCCTTACCAACCGCCAACCCGCCCACCGAGCCCACCACCCAGCTATGGACCTCCTACTTCACCGCCTTTCAAACCTCAACCTCCAAGGCCTCAACCTCCTCAACCAAGGCCATCTTATGGACCTCCACCAACAGCAAGACCAACACCTCCACCCTACAGGCCACCAGGTAAAAACAATCTTGGATTAATAAGATTTTTGCTTTAATTTTTATATCACAGGAATAATCCCAATCAATTTTTACAATTTTCTATAGTTAAATGCAGTGGAATGGAACTTACTTCTTTGCCGCATTTATCTATTTTTCAACGAAAAATTTTATTTGAACTATTAATTATTTTACTAACTACTTTACAAAACAGCGTTACTCGGCATGATTCTCCCTAAAATTAAAACGTTGTATAATAATGTTCTTTCATACGAATTTAAATTGTACTCAATAGAAAATTGTTCATATTTTGATATTTAACGTTTCAACTTTCATTAATAATTTGATTTTAGGTACAACTCCTAGAACACTAAACGGCTTTGGTGAGGTAAGAAATATAAAATTAGCCGATATATAAGTATTTCTAGTCGATATCGTTTTATTCTGCTTTATAAATGGTGTTTGCATTCTTGGTCCTTAGATCCCAAGTCTTGTCATTAGTGGTCTTTTTATAATTA